TACCTTCTTAAATTATTATCCTTTAGCTATCCTTTCATAAACGTGGTGATCCTAAGCTCAATAGAGCTCGATTGTTGTTAACTTCATACAAAGGTATACACCATTTTGAAAAGTATGGCTTAAGTCAACATTTTAAAAGTTCGGAATGTTAACTAGTTTTGTAATTATAAAACAGACATTAATGATGCCATACACTTAGTAGCCTGAAACTTGAATGTCATAAAATCTGTCACGCAGTACAAAGAAAGGCGTTCAGTAATTATCAGGAACGGCCCTTGAAGACCGATTGAAAATTAGGCGGTGTGGCTGACTTCTGCTCCGAGATATCTTGCGAAGTATGTCTATGATAGTGTGTCGAACTTGTCTCATCTTCCAACAGTAGATAACAGGGTTCAGTGATGAATTAAGAAAGATGAGGGTCAGAGAAAATAGATAAATTTTTTTCAAAGTAGTGCTCGAGCCATAGATTCTAAAACCAACCGAGCAAATGTGAAAAGGCAGATGAGAAATAGCAAACACGAGATTTACGTAGAAAATACTAATTGTAGATTTAATGAGGGCAGCAAATTTCTTCATCTCATCTGACTGAGCTTCCTCTCGTATTTGCATGGACTGGATCTGATTCTTGTGCCTTCGGACAGTTAGATAAATCTTGATATAAAATACAAATGTGAGAATAAAGCCAATAGCTGCACTAGCTAAACCAATGGCATCTCGAGTGCTACGCAGCCCCCACAATATCACTGAAGAAACAAATGTACTGTACACCCATGTGGAGATCACCATATAAACAACACGCTTGTGAGTCACAAGCTCTTGGTATCTAAGGTGAAGATGAACAGCTAAGAATCTTTCCATACTTACAACCAGAATGCCTACGCTTGAAGCAAGTGAGAATAAAACGCCAGAAATACTTAGGATTCGGTAGGCGTTACAGTTTGGATTCTCCATTCGTAACCACTTGATAAGAAGTGAAATGTAGATTGGTTGGCCAAATAAACCGACAGCCACATCAGAAAAGGCGAGGTGCAGAAGAAGCGTTTTTAAAGGTTTTGCAATCGAAGCAGCTTTGTTTATCGCGTAGATTATCGCAATGTTCAACACGACGGCGGTGTGAGTAAGAAAACTGTTGAAGATACAGTTTGTGATGATGGTTGGCCGAAGATCTTTGAAATCGGCGTTGGAGGGATAATATTGGAAAGACTTGTTGCAATAGAAATCGTTCATGATGTCAACTCGTTTCTCTTGAATGAAAGATGGGAACCTTAGACAAACAGGATGTTGTACTGCCCTTTACGGGATAATGTTATGCATACGCGATTTTTAAGAGACAAGGTTAAATAACACTATGACAGATGGGAATGTTTAACTAAATATTTAAATCACAAAATAGAGAATAAAGGTGCCTAACACTTGGAGCCCCAAAGCTGAATGTCAATCATCTGTAAAAACGACTTTCAAACAATTTTTATCGGACGTTTTTTTAAACTTATTCATGTACAATTTGAAATTAACACAAACTGTTAATATACCTATCACGATATTATGTTGCTCGCGTCTAAGCGAACCGAGACAGTCACTCACACCATTCAACACGACAAAAAAAAATTCCCCAATTCGGCCTACGCCGAAATGGGGAATTTTTTTGTTCTATAGCTGAAAAGTCAAATTAAAACCGCCACTTTTGTCCATTTCATACAAAGGCTGCTGTTTCTGTCTGTTTCTGTCCTTAGAAAAGTAGAACTGTCATAATATAGAACTCAATAAGTTCATAGCAGGAAAAAAAAATGTCCTTTCACCAGACGTTATGGAAATTTTGTAACTTGTGGAAGGAATGTACGCCAAGAAATTAACGGTGCCTGTTACCATAGTTGTGAAAAAAAGAGCTAAATACGTAGACAAAAACGGAGTTAAGGCAGCTCTAGCATTCCTAGTTATACAAAGTTTTAAATAATGTATGCCTCATCAAGTCGGCTGTGATCAGCACCTGCGGTGGCCACAATGAAGTAAAAGAAATAGAAAATTTCTTCCATACTTCTGATACATCATTTTAAAAGTTGACTTCCTCAATAAATTTGTTTAGGCTTCTTAGATGTTGATATGATTTAGCTAACCCATACTGCTGCTTTTTTATATAAAAACGATTTACTAAAGATTTTCAAAAGTCATACGCTTTGCGTTATTTCTAGAAAGTTTTAAACCGTGAGTGACTTCCCTTCTGAATGCGCGGGCAAAAAGCGAGGAAATCGAGATGCTGTTCATGTCAGCTGTACGAGAGTTATTTACGGGCAAATATTGAACGAGAAAATGCGAGATAGGTTCCACTTCAATTTGTCATGGGAAATCGAACCATCAAATGATTGTTTCTCTAACATTGGGAATTATATTGCATGACAAAAGGAGGAATGAGTAATTGTTATTAGCTCATTATTCGGGCAGATCCACAAGGACTTAACTTCTGTTGATAAGGAAGGCATGCTTCACTGCATCGCCAAATAAGTTGTTTAATTATTGATATTGTAAGCCTGGGTATTGTTATTGTTTAAGAAATTTGTCAGAAACAATTACATCGCAATATTGAAAGCGGCAACGAGTGGTGACTAAGATATGACAAGCCGTGTTTAACTGACAAAGATGACATTATGTGTGTATTTAAGAGAATTAAGAAATAAACAGGTTGGCTTTGTGATGGAAGCAATTCGTTTGTATGTAGTTAAATGAACTCAACTATCTGAATTACTGATTAAAATTAGCTAAGAGTGCTTTATTGTTTTCCTATCAGACTATTTATAGCTTACCACTGTCTTTTTATTGTCAATTTTCCTCTTATATTATGCATAGTTTATAAAATGGGAATACATACGGAATAGTGGTAGCTTAAGCGTGATTTCCATATTAAGCTTTGCAAAGCCCGCAGAGTGAGTCACTCAACGCATCTTATCAAGGTTCATCTCCACCGACGTTTTCCGTTTAGCAACAGAAGGTGTTTAATCCTCTTACGCAATTTACCGACGACGCCATAAAAAATCGATTTCCATATATGGCATCATCCAAACACTCGAGTTTGCACAAATGACCCGCATCCGGCACAAACTATCACGACAGATTTGCATCGATAAAACTGCTATTATTCTATTAAAGATGACGCAAGATTTTAAGTTATGAATTGTACGCTTTGCGTAATTTCTAAAAAGCTGAAAACCGCGGGCGATTTCCCTCTGAATACGTTGGGAAAAGGCGAGAAGTTCAACATACTTAATATTAATATTGTGTGACGTTTTTCAAAGATGATGAGTATTGGAGACTTGATTAAAGTTGGCTTAAGTAAGAGAGAGGATATCCACACAGCATTACCCCAGTTTGGATGAAATGTGAACGCAGCTGTTGCCATGCATGGATTATATTCTGTTTTTAACCTACACGAATCTGCTGTCCTTTTGTTTATACTCGTAGGGAAAAGAACTAGCTTGAAAGTTATAAAACATAGAAAAGAGATTGCGCGATGATCAACAGCGCAGAACATTAGTTACTAAAAGTTGGTCTCACTTGGAAGATTTTATTAGAAAAATGAAGGAAAAGCACTATTATCCTTTGCGACCATCTGAAATTAGAAAAGAGTGTGCAAACACGCAGAGGGAGCCTATCTTTTTGCGCTTGTCTCTCTACAACAAATTTGACAAACAATTCGGCGGAGCAAAGGGGGACGAGCAGGAGATTAAGGAGCCCTACATCGAGTTTAATTCCTCGTTCAAAGCACTCAAGCGCCCTGTTCGATTGGTTGTATTCCGCTATCAAAAATTTATCTAAAAGTTGATATAGAAAATGATATGCCTGCTTCTACTTTTATTTTTATCAAAAACAATTTCACTTCACTGTCCATATCGAAAATAAATCTAGCATTACTGTTCACTTGAATTCCATCTTTCCCGATTAATAATTTGTATACCATCGTTGTTTGGTTTCAGTATCTTACGGGTAGATACTCTTGGGTTTGTCACCTTTTACCCGCTGAAAAAAATTTGCACACAGTTCATGTTAGTCTCACGCAAGAGTTCAGTTATCAGCAAGGACAACATTGGACGACCGATTGTAATTACAGCGGCATGGATGTCTCTCGCGAGACAAGTTCCATAGTACGTCTATGATGCCTCGTCGAATGTGTCTCATCCTCCAACAATAAATGACCGGGTTTAAAGATGAATTAAGAAAGATCAGTCTCTCAAAGGCGAAAAATTTTTTTCTGAGTGATACTTGAGCCATAGAATCTGATGATCAGCCGAGCAAATTTGAAAAGGCGCATAAAAAATGATATGCATGCGATGTACAATTAGTTATATTCTGATGTGGAATATGAATTAACGTGGGAATGAAGCCAACAGCTGCACTAACTACGCCAATGGCATCATGAGTGCTTCACATCCCCCAGGCGGCGATGCAGTTATAAATGTAACTCCAGAAATACTCAGCATCAGGTAAGCGTTACACCTTAGATTCTCCATCTGTAACCACTTAACAAGAAGTGAAGTGTAAAATGGTTGACCAAATAAACCGCAAGCCTCATCAGAAAGGAAAGGTTCAACTACTTTTGCAGTTGTTGAAGTTTTGTGTATGACGAAGATTGTCACAACGTTCAATATGATGGCGGTATAAGTTAGAAAACTGTTAAAAATAAAGTCGGCTATCATGATTGAAAGAAGGTCTCTGGTGTCGACACTGGAGGGATAATACTGCAAAGATTTGAGCTCGTTACCTCTTGAGTGAAAACTGGGAACTTCAGATAGCTACATATTGTTATGCTAATGTTTACGGTATTTGTTTTGTTTGGAAACTTGACACGAGTGGATCACTGACTCTACCTTCTTAAATTATTACCCTTTAGCTATCCTTTCATAAACGTGGTGATCCTAAGCTCAATAGAGCTCGATTGTTGTTAACTTCATACAAAGGTATACACCATTTTGAATATCATAAAATCTGTCACGCATTACAAAGAAAGGCGTTCAGTAATTATCAGGAACGACCCTTGAAGACCGATTGAAAATTAGGCGGGGTGGCTGATTTCTGCTCCGAGACATCTTGCGAAGTATGTTTATGATAGCGTGTCGAACATGTCTCATCTTCCAACAGTAGATGACAGGGTTCAGTGATGAATGAAGAAAGATGAGGGTCACTGAGAGAAGATTAAATTTTTTTAAAGCAATGCTCGAGCCAGAGATTTTAAAACCAACCGAGCAAATGTGAAAAGGCAGATGACAAACTGCAAACACGATAGCTACGTAGAAAATACTAATCGTAGATTTAATGAGGGCAGCAAATTTTTTTATCTCATCTGACTGAGCTTCTTCTCGAATTTGCATGGACTGTATCTGATTCTTGTGCTTTCGGACAGTTAAATAAATCTTGATATAGAATGCAAATATGAGAATAAAGCCGATAGCTACAGTAACTGAACTAAAAGCATTTGGAGTTCTACGTAGCCCCCACAATGTCATTGAAGAAACAAATATACTGTACACCCATATTGAGATCACCATATAAACAACACGCTTGTGAGTCACAAGCTCTTGGTATCTGAGGTGAAGATGAACAGCTAAGAACCTGTCCATACTTACAGCCACAACACCTAAAGACGACGCAATTGCTAATAAATGGCCAGAATTACTTAGGATTCGGTAAACGTTACAGCTTGGATTCTCCATTTGTAACCACTTGACAAGAAGTGAAGTGTAAACTGGGTGACATAAGAAACCGACAGCCACATCAGAAAAGGCTAGGTGCAGAAGAAGCGTTTTTAAAGGTTTTGCAATTGTTGCAGCTGTGTGTATCGCATAAATTGTCACAATGTTCAACATGATGGCAGTATGAGTTAGAAAACTGTTGAAGATACAGTTGGCGATAATGGTTGACCGAAGATCTTTGAAGTCTCGCTTGGAGGGATAATACTGGAAAGACTCGTTACAATAAAATTCGCTCATGATGTCAATTCCGCTTATCTTGAAAGAAAAATGGGAACCTCAAACAAGCAGGATGTTGTATTGCCCTTTGCGGGATAATGTTATGCCTACGCGATTTTTAAGAGAAAAGGTTAGATAACACTAGGACAGGTGGGAATGTTTAACTAATTATTCAAAGCTCAAAATAGAGAATAAAGGTGTCTAACACTTAGAGCTAAATGTCATATCATCTGTAAAAACGACTTCCAAACAATTTTTATTGGACACTTTTTTTAAACTTATTTATCTACAATAATTTTTCACTCTTTTGAAATTAACACAAACTGTTCAAGTAAAATAATTATCACGAAACTATTACTCGCGTCTAAGCGAACCGAGACAATCACTCATTACCATAAACTCTCAAATTTCCCATTTCGGCGCAGACCGAAATGGGTAATAATTTGTTTTATAGCTGAAAAGTCAAATTAAAGCCGCCAATTTTGTCCATTTCATACAAAGGCTGCTGTTTCTGTCCTTAGAAAAGTAGTCATGGTCATGGCCCAAAAAAAAAAAAAAAGGGTGGTCACCAGACGGTAAAATGACTCACTTTGGAGTTGTTATGGAAATTTTGTTGCTTGTGGAAGGAATATCTCCCGAGAAATTAATGGTGCTTGTTAACATAATTATGATATAAAGAGCGAAAGACGTAGACAAAAACGGAGTTGAGGCAGCTCTAGCATTCCTAGTTATACTAAGTTTTAAATAATGTATGCCACATCAAGTCTGCTGTGATCAGCACCTGCAGTGGCCACAGTGAAAAACAAAAAAAATCGAAAATTTCTCTCGTACTTTAAATACATCATTTTTAAAAGTTGACTTCCTCAATAAATTTGTTTAGGCTTCTTAGATGTTGATATGATTTAGCTAACCCATACTGCTGCTTTTTTATATAAAAACGATTTACTAAAGATTTTCAAAAGTCATATGCGTTGCGTTATTTCTAGAAAGTTTTAAACCGTGAGTGACTTCCCTTCTGAATGCGTGGGCAAAAAGCAAGGAGATCGAGGTGTTGTTCATGTCAGCTGTACGAGTGTTATTTATGGCAAATATTGAACGAGAAAATGTGAGATAGGTTCTACTTCAATTTGTCATGGGAAATCGAACCACCTAATGATTGTTTCTCCGTAACATTGGGAATTATATTGCATGACAAGAGGAGGAATGAGTAATTGTTAGTAGCTCATTATTCAGGCCGATCCACAAGGACTTAACTTCCGTTGATAAGGAAGGCATGCTTCTCTGCATCGCCAAATAAGTTGTTGAATTATTGATATTGTAAGCCAGGCTATTGTTATTGTTTAAGATATTTGTCGGAAACAATTATATCGCAATATTGAAAGCGGCGACGAATGGTGACTAAGATATGACAAGCCGTGTTTAACAAAGATGACACTATGTGTGTATTTAAGAGAATTAAGAAATAAACAGGTTGGCTTCGTGATGGAAGCAATTCGTTTGTATGTAGTTAAATGAACTCAAATATCTGAATTACTGATTAAAATTAGCTAAGAGTGCTTTATTGTTTTCCTATCAGACTATTTATAGCTTACCACTGTATTGTTATTGTCAACTTTCCTCTTATATTGTGCATAGTTTATAAAATGGGAATACATACGGAATAGTGGTATCTTGAGCGTGATTTCCATATTAAGCTTTGCAAAGCCCGCAGAGTGAGTCACTCAGGGCATCTTATCAAGGTTCATCTTCACCGACGTTTTGCGTTGAGCAACAGAAGGTGTTTAATCCTCTTACGCAATTTACCGACGACGCCATAAAAAATCGATTTCCATATATGGCATCATCCAAACACTCGAGTTTGCACAAATGACCCGCATCCGGCACAAACTATCACGACAGATTTGCATCGGTAAAAGTGCTAGTCAAATAATTTGGGGTGACACGCTGATGACTAATTAGATTCAAAAAAATTAACGCCTGTTCGACTAATGAAAGAATAATCAGTGATACTAGTCGTCAAAATCTTGAACATTTGAACTGAGTCGCATATGTTTTATGACTACGTAACGAGCCGCTGCTTCAGACACTTAGACTTTCAAATTGTCATCAGTCACGCCTATATGGTGACGTAAAGCGATTCGGGCGAGTTAACAGGAACTGCGATATTTGAGTAGGTCGTTTAGAACATATATAAACACGGTATGGGATAGCTATCAAAGTAACCGAGACGTCATCGATCGCTGAGAAGACCACAAGAATATTATCTGTATTCTTTTATTGACCTCAATGGGGCGATTTTTGCTTACAGTTTTGGCTCTTTGCACCCTAAATGCGTCTGTGCATGGGAAAGCTATTGTGAGTCCTAGAAAACAGGCTGAGCTTATGGTAAGTGGAGTTCAAATCTTAATACTTCGTATTATATATATCAGGGAATAAACTCTTTTTGTCGCCTATATTGCACGTGTAAATCCTGATAATGATATTTGTATTGCAACTACTGGCTTCTTAGGAACATTAGAAATTTTATCTCCGACACAAAGCTATCGTTTGTAAATTGTTAGCGGTGTAATCCTTCGGTGGTTCCTCCTTCAACTTCGCCTGTCACGTACGAGTAATTGACGCCAAGTTGCACTCATCTACCTCAAGGAATGCTCAAACAAAACTCACTTTTCCTCATTAAATTCCAAGTTTGTGAAACATCGAAAGAACACGATAGCAGAGAAAGGGATGGAAGTGTTCACAATCTACCACTGTGATGGTATGCAAACCTCGACTCGCAATTCGCACGCGACTCTATCAACAATAAATGAATAACTATCTAATTAAGGGCAATCGCTTCACAGCACATCAGTGAAGTTCTTGCCTAAGCACTTTAATCGCAAGAATCAAGAATAACATCTCCCAGCAAGTTTCCTTTGAGCTTATTGTGGCACTGCAATACACATGAGAACATAAGTTTCCACAATTCAAATTGATTGCCACCTCCAGGCAGAAATTTTGTCATTTTGCAGCATCAATTGACATGCAAAATTCCCGCTGTGTCGACTGAATATGTTTTAATTATTTCCACACGACCCAAAAAAGGTTATCATAAAAGACATTTGGAATTTTCCGCAGACTTGTTAACGGAAGTAACCCCATCGAAACCAAGACAGAGTTTGGCTTGAACCGATGGAGTCACCTAACAAACTGGGATATTTTAATTTTTCCCCTTTTTTATATTTTCATCATTAGATACTAATAGATACTGCGATATTTTATTTTATTTTTTGAACTAATTTCTGCAGGGTTCCTCTTCGAGATTGTTTCTGTTTCAGACGAACTTACGGTCCTGTTTCATTATCTCAGTCTCTTAACTGAAAGGGAAAAAAAAACCTTTCCATTTGCTGTAAGGGAAATTTGCTGTGACGGTATGAAGAGAAAGCTTACGAGACTGCGAACCTATTTACAGATAAAAAGTTTTGTATGCCGCACAGTTATGATACATTTCCAATGTCGATACAAATGGAAATTTTGGTTTATTATATTGTGTTCATAATATACAGCAAATACATATTCACCCTGAGTGGTTTGCACTAGAGAAAAGATCGCGCTTATGAATTCCCATCAGCGCACGCATGAGAGAGAGAAACGCGTGCGTGGAGAAAGAGAAGTTTCCTTTTTCCCATGCGCGCCCCTGATACTAGCGTTTTTTTTTTTTTGCATCAGTCATTTAGACTTTTTAAAATTACTTCTTTTCATTTTTTATGCCTTTATAAGTTCATACACATTTACTTCTTTTTTTTTTTTCTCCCGAAGGATTACATGGTAAGGTATGGATATCTGCATCAACCCGATCCCAGACTAGAAAAAGATCTTACCAACGACGATGTTACATTGGCCGTGAAAAATCTCCAACACATGAGGGGACTGGCAGAGACCGGAAGTCTTCAGGACCCTGACACTGCGGCTCTGGTAGACGTAAAGCGTTGTGCAGTGCCAGACTTTGGGCCATCGGATACCGCCAGGAGAAAGCGAAGATATGCTGTGCACGGAACGGTATGGAACAAAAAGGTACGTATTACTATCTGTATGAACACATGTTGCAACAATCTTATAACCACTGTAGCTATCCCTCAAAAGGCGTCCCCTGTAAAAGTTTTTAAGTCATTTTTGTGACGTCATGGTGCAAAACTGTCTAACCCTTGGATTCCTAGGATCCATGTCTCATTCTCATCTTTAGCTGTTATGCATTTTCTTGTTGAGCAGTTAAAAGTATGATTTGCTTTTATGTCGAGATGACATCCTCTGACTAAAAACTCTTCGTTTATTCGTTTCACCTGCTGCTCAGTAGGGAAGAAAATCACAAAAAAATGCCATATGAACCCAAGAGTGAAAAAGGATAGTTAGGAATAGGGAAGATAAAAACCGATTGCTGAGCTAGAACACAACTTTGGTTCACCCGGATTTAAAAAGTTGACTACCCAGGGTTTTTTTTTATATAAATTAAACTAGAGCTAAACTATTTCTGGCACTGATCTGATAAAAATATTTCTTAATTTCTCCCAACAGCTGTTAACCTACAGAATCGTCAACTACCCATCAGCAACCAAGCTTAAAGTTAAAGAAGTCGACGATACAATCAGGAAATCTCTGGATTCGTGGTCAGCGGTCAGCCAAATAAAGTTCGAACGCATAACTGATAATAACACAGAAGCAGACATTATGATCAGTTTTGTGACTGGTTACCACGGAGACAGCAGACCAGCGGATGGGCCCGGGAAAGAGCTGGCACACGCGTTTTTTCCTCTTGATAACAAAGGTGTGTTTAAACTTCTAAGAATTTTCAAATTTACTGATTCGAAATGATGTCTGCCTTTCAACCATTTTCCGTGATTTATCTCGATATATCGATGTATGCAAAGAAAAAAACTGTCACCACAGGTAGTCGCTTTATAGCCTTCGTAGAGCCCCCCCCCCCATTCCCCAAGAAGAAACGTGTCTCCTCGGGGGGAAGGGTTCGGCTGCAAGTAGTCGAATTG